CTGGACTTGCAAACTGAAAAGAATAGAAATTCCGAACAAATTGAAACAAAAGGGATAGTTAAGATAACGATTTGACAAATTCTCGAAATAACTCCTCCCTTTTTTGATCACCTATACGTACATTATCCATAGCTGCAAAAGCCTCGCTGTCTTCTGTGGGAGGAAGCTCTCGATGGTGTTCCCAATCTTCCGGTAGGCCTGATTGCCCAATGGGCTGGTGAAGGTTCACAAAATTGTGTACCACACAGCAGGCGGAAAGCCACTTCGTGAGGCGGAGAGCAGACCTTGGACCCTTGATAAGGACTCGAGACTCCTTACAGGATTGAGTCCTACCCTTCCATACACCGTTGGTGTGTTCAGATACTATTCGAGCCATACTCAACTCAAAGTTGAAGTGTCGATGAGGACGATCAAGCTCCTTGTTTCTTGGCTTTTTGAATGCAGGAACAATCCTTTTTGTCGAACTGTAGCCTGAGTCGGCTAACAGATACTCTCCAGGACTAAAATAACTTTCAATGTTTTTGTAAAACTGAGAGAAACATCCATATTAGCCAATAGCTTGCCCAAAACGTCAATGAGACAAAAGAAAAAAAAAGACACATTACCTCCGTTGATTTGAGGACTCCTTGATCGTGTGCACTGCCACACCATCCATGATGAGCATATATGATATGTCTACGATGATCACATATGATCAGGGAATTGACCGCATACATAGACTTTCGGCAATAGTAGGCCTCGCTGTTCTTCAGAGGTGCATAGGCAAGGGGTATGAGTGTTCCATCGATGAACCCTACACACTTCTTGAAAAAGGAATTAATTCCAATTTCAGCGCTGATGACTTCTCGTTCTTCGGGTGTTGGCCACTTCACGTATTTTGATTTGAGTTCCACAAGTGCCTCAATACATCGGTTTGTATAGTTTTCCACACTCCCTTCTAAAGAGAGACATCAGTACACGGTTAATTTAAGCGAAACCAGATAAATGAGCCTCACCTGCCATTTTGAACAATTCAGCGATTATTTGACACTGACCCCCGTTCCCAGACAGTCCAAAGTTCGCCATCGCTACCAAGAGCTGCCATGATACTGGAGCTTGAGGACAGTTCGAATTGTTATGGAAAATCGGGTTGTCAGCGATTTCGCGTACAAGGGCCAGAAACGTGTCCTTAGACATCCGAGCCTAGAAGCCAGTCACCACAGTCAAAAAGATCAATCAGTAAAATTGAAACTCAAGCGAGAATACGTAGTTTACGTACCACAACACCCCACCGCCGATCAGAGGCATCAAACCATGCTTCAAAACATTCCTGCTTCTTACATCGGCTTGAAAGCTGACGGTGCCTAGGAACCAGGTACCGTCTCTTTTGAGCACGTTCTAAACCGAATGCCACAATTGCAAGTGTTATTTCATCCTCCGTGCGACGACGTTTGCATGATGATCGGGATGATGATGAATTTGACAAGTCCGCTAGCAGTAAGTGACAAGCCATCAAAATGAGATGGTCTCGGTCGCTTGTGTCTTCTTCCGAGTCGGTATGATCTTCTGAGCCGACTTGATCAAGGATAATAACACATGCCATGATCGTAGTGAAGTTGGTGGTGTTATTGAGTGATCGTTGATAGGTTTGGGCCAAAGACACTACTTGAAGTGCAAAGAAGCACTTCAAGCAGGCCAACACGTTGGTACGAAGGGTTGAGTTGGCCATTTGCAGTGATGGTAGAGTCAGGGGTTGAGTTCGGCAGTGCTAGGTGGGTATCGAGGGGTGAGTGAGTGATGAACTCTGGGTGCTTGAGGTAAGGCCGGCACCCGGCCCGGCCCGGAGGCTGCCCGCGGGAAGATCGAGCGGGCTCCGGGCTGCCCGGTTTTTTTTTTGTTTTTAAAAATAGAGGGCTGAAGAGCGCTCCATAGTTTAAAATTTCAACTTAGATCTACATCTTCTCACACTTATCGTGCATAAATTCTGATACAAACCCTTCCTTTTTCATCATCAAGGTTATTCTGGATTTCCGATGAGCTCTACAAGGAAGCGGGGCATCAACAGCAGCCCTAACTCCGACAATCGCTCTCAACATATTAATAAACAAGCCCGTCTATCGTATTCAAAAGAAAGCACCCAAATCGTGACCATTGGATCTGACGACGAGAATTCCGATGAATCCAATGATCGTTTAAAAGTTTCTACCGCATCAAGTAGCTCAAATCGATTTAAACTTACTAGTAGAATCAATTCCAACCCCGGTAACAAAACCTCGTGGGTGTGGAGATATTTCAAAGTTGAAGTTGTTGTCAATCCGATCACCCAAAACGAAGAGAAGAGGACTGTTTGCACCTTTGAAGTCGAGCCTGAAAAGCCCTGTGGAAGCCATTATAAGTTAGATACAACTCAGAGCACTAAATCAATGAGTCGACATCTTGCAAAGCACGGTCTTGATGAAAAGTCGCATATCGAAGAGGGCACTGTGGACATGAAGAAGTACCTCAAAACAGGTAAAATCACTTGAGTAAGTACCAAAAGCTTACTATTGACTTATCTTTCACCTCTGACACTTCGCTTATTCACCATGATAGGCTGAGAAGCTTTCCACCTCAACCTTCCGGTCTGCCATCTTACGACTCGTTGTCAATCAAGAACTTCCATTTTCCCTTGTCGAATCCGTGGAATTACAAAAAGCTTTTGAACTCGCCAATCCAACCATTGAGCCTCTATTCTTTGGTCGTACTGTTTTGACCGATACTCTCAAGTCTCAATTTATCAAAGGCCGACGTTTACTTACTCATCTTCTGAAGGATGTTCCTTACATTAGCTTTACATGTGATGGCTGGAGTCAGCACAATAAATCCATTCTCGGAGTCACAGCTCACTGGGTTTCAAACGATTTCAACCTTTGTGAAGCAATTATCGGAATGAAAATCATCGAAGGGTCTCATAGTGGAGAGAATCTAAGTGATCATCTGATGGAAACTTTAAAAGATTACAACTTAGTCGATAAAATGTTTTGCCTCACTGCTGATAACGCCTCTGTCAATGCTGTCATGGGAAGAAAATTAGAAGAATCAGTTCCTCAATTTCAATCCGATCAACATCTTCTTGGCTGCATAGCCCATGTTATCAACTTGGTCGCTAGAGCAGGCCTTCACATGTTCTCAGAGAAGTTAGGCGACAAGACACCCTCTATACCTCCTGCACTCTCTGCTTGGCTCAATCGAGATACACCTTGAATTACCAGCGCTCTCAGTCGACTTATTGGTTTCACTAATCATGTTGAAGCTTCTCCACAGCGTGTGGAGTCCTTTGCACTCCTGGTTAGAGGTATGCTGCCACCGAAGGATCATGTTCGACTGATCCGTCGGGTTGATACTCGCTGGAACTCTGACTTCGAAGCACATCAAAGATCGTACCGACTCAAAGCTGCAATTGACTATCGGACTAAGAACGATCCCGAATATACGAAGTTTGCTCTCACTGAGAGTGAATGGGATTTAGTTTCTCATCTTGTTGAATTTCTTTCACCTCTCAATGTCGCAACTGGATTACTATCTGGATCGAAATACCCAACGTTCTCTGAAGCTGCACCTGTATATCAATGGATTTTGGAGAAACTCGATAAGGTTTGTTTCCAAAGAACTTCACAAAGCTTAGAATATTCTTTGACATTTTGATAATTCGATTTGCACAGGCCTGGGAACAAAATGCAAATGAACCTCTTCGAGCGGCTATCGGTCCTATGAAGATTAAGCTCGAGCAGTACCACATTGCTGCACTCCAGAAGCCCGTCTATCTCTTTGCTAACATCCTTGATCCTCGAAGTAAGCTTCTTGAGCTATCAACAAAAACTATTCAAATGGCTGGCCTGTACGACCGAGAGGAGTTGAGAACTAAATTTATCAGGGAGGCGCAAAAGTTTCAGCTCCAACCGCCCAATCCAGCAAATGATAACCCCGAGCCTGAGGAAGAACCAGAAGAAGATGGGCCACGTCGATTTATTACACGCAAAAAGGATCTCACAGTCAGCGAAGAAGTCGAATTGTATCTTTCCAGTGGACGTGAAGATAAAGACCGCCTACCTTTGGACTATTGGAGAATTAATGCTGATAAATACCCGGTTCTTGCGTGCATGGCTGCTGCCTACTTGGCTATCCCTGCTACAAGTGTACCCTCTGAGCGATCTTTTTCTGCCGGTGGGAGAGCGTGGACAGACGAACGAGCCACTATGGATCCAAAGAACTTTGAGGCATCAATTTGCCTCAAAAGCTGGGACAATTTGTTGAATGTTTGGTAGTATTGTTTGCTCGCCTTCCCAAAAATTGTTCTGCTCAAAGTTTTCCTTCTAGTATCTTTACGCTGTTTTTGTATTTGTTTGCTATAGTTTTTTTGTTTTTTTTTTCCTTTTTGATTATTTTTGTTTATTCTCTATCACTTTGTCTCTGAAAACACGCTAAAACACGCCAGTTATCGCCTATAATATCACTTATTTCAATGATTTCTAGCCCCTCGGGCCATCGGGCCGGCCCGGCCCGATAGCGAAATGCAAAGCGTGTTCGGGCTACAAGTGTTTTTGGTCATTTCCGGGCTGCCCCGGGCCCGGCCCGGCCCGCGGGCTGCCCGAGCAGAATCGGGCCGGGTGCCGGCCTTAGCTTGAGGTCTGAAACTTGAACATTCAACCCGGTATACCCAGTACCGCCAAAATTTCAACTGGGTGTACCGGGTCTTTGGGTAACCCGGTTTGGTTTGAACAGGGCTATTGAGTGTAAATCCTTGTGTGTAAAAATCTATTGACCCATTTTTAATGCAAAAATGAAACATACACCACCAAATACACACTTTAAATTTTGCAGAATGTGATTTCTCACCAGAAATTGCTTAAGTGAACGCGCCGTGAGTGTTCTGATGAGCTTTCTCGTCCTCGTATCTCCTTTGTTTTTCAAACGTGTCCTCAACCGAATTTCAAAACCAGATCCAAAGTTTGATTTGTCTTTGTGTTATCCTCATCCAACTCCTTAAAGGCGAACATCAAAAGTTCAACACGTTCAGCTGAGCATGATTTCGACTTGTTTGATTATGTAGGATCTATAAGACTTGAAGACAGATATCACCCACACACGACGACTCATTGGACCTTGCTACTTGAGCACTCTGCAGCATCTTTACATAGAGAAATTCACCAATAACATCCTCAAGCCGAACGACTCAAATCCCTCCATCCTCCAGATAGTCTTCGCGTCACTTTATTCTCCTTATTTTCAACCCAACTCCACCACAAGCACCAGCGAAAAATACTCAAAAAAGACCACAGATCCCTTCAAGTTCCAAGTTGATTCATACATGACTCCAGGGCCTGACTGATCCGTCCTGATGCCAAGAGTATAGTGCTGGCATCACGCGTTCTTTGCTTGATCGGATCTCGTAAGCAAAGTGCCCTGATCACGAAAGCAACCGTCAGGCCCAGCCCGACTCTCTCTCTGACTGGTGCTGACATGGACGTGTCGCAACCTCCTTCGTACCTCATACGGGTACTAGCAATTCTTTCTCTTGATACTCATAGGGGCCAACCCAACGCCAGGTTGAGGGCCAGACTCAAAGCTGACTTGAATCCAAATCTAATCCAATCAGTAGATCTGAATCTGATCGATTTGGTCAACCGCCATTTCGGTGTTTAGCAAATCGAACTGGTTCAGCCCCGATTTCATTTCATTTTGGTATGAGTTGGCTATCATCAGCTTACATGCTTTCTTGAAGAACCAATAGAATGGAACTCACTGTGTGCTCGAATTCGAATTTCTATCAAAGCTAGAAGCTCAGTCTTAAGTTATATCGACGGACTACTGATCAACTTTTAGCCATCTGATTAGGAACATCGTAAGGTCATTTCTTTTCGAACGAATAAAGTCAGTCATTTGAAGATACTCATCCTTAACTTCCCATTTTCTCATCATCACCTACATCATCATCAGAACTAAATTAGATTCATAGCTCATTCAAATCTCATTTATCTTTCAAAGAGCTTTAGAACCAAGAAACCATATAAAATGTTAAGAACAACATCAGATCCGAGTTGTGAAGCTTTCTATCGTAAACGTCCAAGACCACTTTCACTGAAATCTCAACCTACTCAATTCTTTTCATCTCATTCTACTCCCGGTATCCTTGATTCTTCAATCACCACTCCTATACTAGAAGAAGATACTCTTAACCTTTCACTTCTTCACACCTCTGAACTTCCTTCGCCAAAGAAACTTCGACCTTCACGTGAATGTGCTACGATACCTAATGGGTCTCTCAAGAGCGCTTTTAAGTCTCCGGCTCAATCTCCTAATACTACTTGTCCTACTACACCTGATACAGATTTTGGGGGAAAGATGTCGGTTGGAATCATAGAGATGGGTAAGTTCAAAGCTTCTTTAGAAACTCTTCAACGCTGTGATACTAACGTTTTGGGTGGTGATCTTATAGACTCTGCGTTTCCTTTCTCGAGCGCTCGGGCTAATTCGCCTACACGCAAAAACGTTCACTTCACCTGTGATGACACAGAGGTGGACTCATTATCGACGGTGATGTTATCCATACACCTAACCCATTCACCTCAATCATACGATCGATCTCCCATCGATGTAGGACCTTCACTCTTACTACCACCTCGATCTTCAAGCGATTTATGTGAAGAAAGTGAAGTAGAATGTAGTGAGGAAGATTGGTCGGATCCTGAACTTGGGTTAGATCTTAGTCGAACTTCTTCGATTCATCAAGCTGGGATTGGTAACTTACATGCCCTTAATCCTTTGGCTCTCACTTCTGCTCTGGATGGGTTTTAATACCTACTTCTAGTCTCTTTTTCCTGTGATCTTTTTCCTTTCGTGTTTCATTTGCTCCGAGTCTTCTTCACACCTCATCTTACATCGACGATTAGCGAAAATTTAGCTAGTTGAGGTTGTTGATCATGAAGAGTGTCTTTTGGTTCAGAATTTAGGTCTTGAGGTTTTTAATTCGATTTCTCTTTTAAGTCAATCATTTTAATTCCTTCACCTTTCTTTCTTTTCTTTTTTGATTAAATTTTTTAAAAAAAAGAAAACTTGATTTTTTTCCTTTTTTTCTTCTTACTTTTACTTTTTTTTACAAGCTTGTTGTTTTCTTATACGATTTTCTTTAATCTCATCTTTTTTAACTTATACATCTTGTTTATTATTTTATGGGATCTTATGTATCAACCAATGAATGATAATTCACTCCTTTAATTTTCCCCGGAGTGTTTTTTGAGGTTATGGATCCATTTTGAATCGCCTGAGCTTTATAGTTCACAATTTGACTTTAGAGAACTTTGGTAAGGCTTTGGGGTTTACTTTTGGTTATTTCTTTACTTGGTTGTGCTCAGAGCCCATGACTGGTAAGTATTCTGGAACTAAAACGAATTCTTTCCCAAACTCTTTTTTAGTCGAGTTCTTTTTGAGTACCACTTCTTGAGGTAGTCACTCTCTACTCTCTGACAGCGGGTATCACACTCAGTAATTGTTGTGTCATAGCATGCAAGATGCCATAGGATACCACATTGTTTGATGTATGGATAAATTATCATTCAAAGAGAGAGAATTTGTTCCTTTCAAAATACGTAGAGTTCAATCAAAACAAAACATCAAGGGATTGCAAGCCTCAAAAACGGATTGCTGTGCCAGAGGTTCTATTACTAAAGAAACGTTTTGATTAAGGACTCGTACACCAATAATTATCTCGTCAAGACTGAACCCTACTACTAGAATTTTACTATGTATTTATCAGATGTTTTCTGGATGACTTTTGTAAGAAAAAATGTATTCCTTGGAGTTGGTACTATGTATTAACTAAGGGGAATAGGTAAAGGATGGGTTCGGTCCCAGCAAGGTCGGTGTTGCGATCAACTGGAGCGCACGAATAGGAGATGGAAAGGGTGATGAATTTCATAAGCATCTTGACATAAACTAATAAGAGAAAAACATACCTGGAGCGCACGAATAGGAGATGGAAAGGGTGAGGAAAAGAACCCTTTCCTGATGTGGCTCCAGGTAGTTTATATACAAAAGGTGTCTTATGTAACAATTGTGTAATAGTTATGTAAGCACTATACAAGATTCATCGAGTAAACAGAATGACATGTGAGATGATTGAAGGAAGCATTTGATGGTGGGAAAGCACACTATAGATGATTGTACATTGGAATATGATCAGGTTCTCGTGACATAATCTGTGACTATTCCAACACCCCCCCTTGCGTCCAACAGAGCTTCCTTAGAAAGAAGAAAGAAAGAAAAAAAAAATACGCACTAGAGAAATAGATAGAAGTCAAAAGAGACAGAGAAAGAGAGAGAGAAAAGAAAAAAAAGAAAAGAGGTAGAGAGCAGTGTTATCTGGAATCTGTTCCCCCAAGATTGACAAGCTTTTTCTACCAGAAGAACTGGAATCAAGCTTATCCGTCTACGGAATTATTTCCACCAGAAACAAAGCCAACACCTTAGATCAGACCAAACATAGCCCTATGGCGCTGTAGCATCACTCGTGGAAGAGGTTTAGTGAGCATATCAGCTAGCATGTCCTTCGTTGATACATGTAAAATTGAAACATCTTCATTCTTGACGCATTCTCTCACAAAATGAAAACGTGTGTGTATATGTTTGGTTCTTGAATGATGTTGAGGATTATGAGCCAGTGCTTCAGCGCCCTCGTTGTCCACGTGTAGAGGAATAGCTGACGGAGGTCGAATGTTGAGCTCCGCAAGGAGATACTTAAGCCACATAGCTTCACAACAGGAGTTGGACATTGCTTTGTACTCGGCTTCAGTGCTGGAGAGGGAAACAGTCGATTGTTTCTGAGATTTCCACGAGATAGGTCCACACCCAAATCTGAAAGTGTAGCCGGTGGTTGATTTTCGATCGTGTCGATCTTCTGCCCAGTCTGAGTCAGAATAGCCACCCAAAGTAAGACGTAACTCTGAGGTGGAGAGTAGGTAAAAAAGGACATGAATTGCTGCGGACCAGTGAGAAGCTGACAGATCTCTAAGGTATTGAGAGAGTCGATTGACCGCAAATGACACATCTGGTCTGGTACATTGAGCTACCCACAGTAGTGCTCCGACGAGGCTGGAATAATGACCAGGAGAAGCATCCTCATCAGATGATCGAGGCTTGAGGTCCTTTATAAATGACGAGTCAGTGGGAGTTTGAACTGAAGTTTTGTTTGACGGAATGAAACGACTAGCAACATCTTTGATGTAGTGCGATTGTGACAAGAACACTTTTCTAGCCGGAATATCTCTTGTAATGTCGAGAGATAGAAAGTGAGTTAGTTCTTTGTTCGAAGAAATTTCAAATTTTGAAGAGATGGACGAAATGATTTCATCAACAAAGGAATCTTCTCCAATGATTGCAAAATCATCAACATGAGCTGTGAGAGCTCCGACCAATTTGTCATTTTTCATTCAGTAATACAAAGTAGGATCGTACTTTGACTGAACGAGATTGAGCGTAATGAGGAGTCGATGAAGTTCCGCATTCCAGAGTCTTGGTGATTGTTTAAGACCATAGAGTGAACGCTGAAGTTCACACACCCAATCAGGGTGTTCAGGATCTTCATATCCCTGAGGCTGAGTCATGTAG